TCGTGTAATGACTTTGCCCATTCATTGGTTGGTATAGATTTCATTACTTCCTTGGAATTGCTAAGCCACTTTGTGAACTTGAAACCTCCACGAGCCAATAATTCCCTAAGCTCAGCTGCAAGCTTGATGGCAATGCTCTCGGTAGGCACCGACTTAAGGCAATCATCCACATAGCAATTGTGCTTAACTGTCATAGTTGTAAGCTCACTGAAGTAATTTTTATTGTCTTCTGCTACCCGTTGTAGTGCGAAATTCGCAGCCCTGGGGCTCCACACTCCACCAAAAAGATGTGTGGTCATATGATAGTGTTTAGGTGATTTGTCAGGATCATTTTCTTTCCACCATAGGAAACGAAGAACATCTCTCTCATGAACCGGCACTTTTACCTGATTAAACATGCCTTCAATGTCAGCATTAATGGCAATAGGCCCTTGGCGAAATCTAAGCAACACCCCAATAAGTTTGTTAGTGAGTTCTAGGCCCTGATTGATGCAGTCATTTAATGAGGTTCCTGGCAAGTAGCAGAACAATCATAAACAATACGAACTTTATTTGGTTTGCAGGGATGCAATACTGGGTGATGCGGGAGATACCACACATATCCATCTTGTCGGTAGTGGTCAGTGACTTCTTCCGCGTAGCCATGACGTAGTGTCTCTTGAATACTTTGAACATATTTATGTTTCAAATCAGGATTTTTCACTAAGCGCTTTCCCAACAGGTCTAAACGGTGCTTTGCAACAGCGTAATTATTTGGTAGACGTGGTGGATGCTCTTTGAATGGAATGGGTAGACTGTAATGGTCACCATCTATAATTGAATGTTCATTCCATAACTTAATCACTTGTTTATCAGTAACTGACAGTAGGTTGTCGTTGATACATGCTGGATCATCCAGTTTCAAGAACTTCTTGACTGCAAGACGTAGAGTGTGGTCAGAATGGACATAGTTTGCTGAAATACATGTAGTTGTGAGCCCATCGGCTATTGGACCATTGAGTGTCCATCCCAGACCAGTCAAAGTAGCATAAGGTCCCCCTGAGTTCCCACTGCATATCTCACGAGGGGCAAGTATATCGGGTTGGTCAAGACCAATTAGCAAGCAACTTCATCAGATAAATCAACGTCTGGCATGCAGATTTCATGAGTAATGTCTTGCAGATGAGGCCATCTGGAAACCTCCTCTGATGAAACTAAGTTATCAAGGCTAACGTTCACGACACAGTACTCCACTGATAAGGTATCCACTCTGACGCTTGGTATCCTCAACTCGCAAGTTCACCGAAAGGGTGTCGATGTTAAGATTCTTAGACTCCAGTGTGCTTAGCTTAAAGTTCATGTTGTGTGTTTTGAGCCTTAGGGCTGATATCAACCTTTTGGAGCAGAATGTACCATTGGAGCCGCTGTCCAATAGAGCGAAAACATGCATTGACAACTGGTTGTCTTGGTTTGAGACTACAACTGGAATAATGGGTAACGCGATCTTGCTTTGTTGAGGTTCAATTGACTTTCGAGTAGAATTGACATGAATCACTTGTGGTTGATCATTAGTAGCTGGTGCACTCACAGTTGCTTGTTTATGTAGTTGGGTAGTTTTATAATTGTTATTGTGATCATTGTTGTTTGCTGATAAAGCAGAGTGAAGCCAACTGTTGTGTTTTTTACCACATCCAGGTACCTTACATACCAAATTGTGCGTACAAAACTCACTTATGTGATCTTTCATGAAACAATTAAGACAAAGTTTGTTTTGTCGTACAAATGTCAATCGTGCTGGTACTGACATTGCTCTAAAGGCAGAACATTGATTCAAATAATGTGTATCATTACATTTTATACATTTAATACTAGTGTCTTTGGTAGATTTAGTTTCTGTTGACGATGAAGTTGCAAAAGACTGCCTTGTCTTAGGTTTGCTGACGAGGTTGGTATTAAAGTTGTTTGGAATAGAGTTGGTTTTAGATGATGTATCATATGTAAGTAGATTTCCAAAGACTGGATCAGATCTCCTTGTTGTTTCTGTTTCAACGAGTTTGAATACGTCATCCAATTTAGGCAGACGTCCTGACTCAGTAATTTCAAAGTTCTTCGTTAACCATCTTCTCTTTATGTCATCTGGTAGTTTGTCCACTATACTGCGTAGCGTGCTACCCGAGTTCAGTTCATCTTCACACTTCATAGCTCTAAGTGTGTCCCTACAACTGCGAAGGGTATCTGCAAAAAAATCTGGTTGTTATCTTTAATGTCTTTATAATTTAGAACTTTGTTAATTCAGGCTTGAGCAATGGTATATGGCTTCCCAAAGCGCTTTCTCAGTATGGTCATGGCCCATAACCAGCAGCTGTATCAGGGTTGCATAAACAATGTGAAATGGCACCTTTAGCTCGGTCAACTGTGTACTGAAGCAATCTGGTAAGTTTCTCTTCATTTGATACAGTCTCTTTATCCACAATGGTTGAAAACAGTCTCATGAATTGCCAGTACTTTAATGGGTCTCCATCAAACTTGATGAGATCGGCAGGTGGAAGTCGTATAGAATCAAGATGTGACTGGTACTGTTGTCTGGATAATTCCAACATATCCCTCATGGATGACTCAAACACTGGAGATACTGACGAGTCACCTGGAGTTGTTCGTGAAGAGATAGGGGTAGAAAACCGCTCAGATGAACCAGTTGCCAATCTATATCCAAGCTGACTTTCTCGTAACTCAACATCTTTGAACTGTAGTAGTTTTCTCAATTCATCTTTCTCCTTCTCATGTCAGAGTTCTATCTCTGAATGTTCTTCCTGTTGTGGTTTTAGTCTCTCTTCCTGCAGACTCATGGCTAAATGTCGCAAGTCTTGAACATCTCGCAGCACAGACATGCGATAACATGTTTAGGCATCAATGTCATCTTCATCTTTGAGTGTTTCATGATATTGTTCATGCACCTCAACGAATTTGCCAACTTCTTCGTCTAGCGATATTAGTTTCAGATCTAATGCTTCAGACTGACCCTGTTCTATGGAAGTATGAATTTGGTTGATTAGTCGTGTGACATTTGCCTTTGCAACACCTCGCTGTCGTTTCAGTTTAGCTTGAGCAGCTGTGTTAACATCTTTATTGTCGGACATCTTTCCGTCGTGTTTGACTTTTAATGTAGCCAATACAATGACAACATTAACAGATTAATCATTATATATATATTTCCCTTGTGCTGAACGCATTCACCACTAATGGTTACAGGTAGTTGTTGTTATGTTGATAATTGTTATTAAAGTTAGCTGGTAGTAGTAGTAGTAGTAGTAGTAGTAGTAGTTGTTGTTGACAATATCACTAAATACCACAAATGCCACAATGAGTAGTAGTTAATGATTGGTTAAATGTTCACTAGTAGAATGATGAACAGCAGAATGGTAGAATGTTCCTTTGACAAATGGCGAACCAATGAATTGTTGAATAAGTGGTCAACGAATGGTAATTGACAGTGAATGGATGGTCAAACTGTAAATACAGAAAAAATAACAAACACTAATAAGAATACAATGCAGAAATATCACAATAATTCAAAGGGTATAACAATTTTCGTAAGGAGTGCACCATGCATAACAACAAATTTTAATTAGATGGCCAAGCATGGTGCGTAGAAAACCCTTCTTAAAACGAGGGATGTACGAGAATTTCTCACTGTACTTTCAAATATATATACCTCAACTAACAATAATCAACATTTGAAATGGTATTCTCAACCAGAAAAGGTACAACAGAGAACCTTAAACTTGTTTACATAAGTTGCAGACGAACGTGAGATCTATTCAGCAAAGACTGCACAAGTTTGAAGTCTATCGCAATGAATGTAAACTCGACAGAATTTACGCGAAATATAAACTCATAATATCTCATAATAATCTCGAATAAGTCTGCTTGTAGTAGACAACTCAAATAATTAACGATTTATGTAACTAAACTTACCACGCTGGGATATCTAGTAGAGTAATTTTGACGTACAATTCAGTGCACAACAAGTAAAGTAAAAATGGCGGTTCTCGCAAAACACGAGACTCTCGCAATACACGAACCGCACTAATAATAGATTACTGCCACTGGTGGCGCTCTAATCACAGGACACTCTGGTAGCTTACAATGGGCCTTCTGTTTCTTACTCGTAACGATCTTATTTATTTATTTAGTTGTGTTGGGTACCGTTTTGTGAGGCGCGTGACATTCTTTGTTTACTTTTTATGTCTTTCTCGCGTGACACGCCGTGACCATATGTACATGCGGTCTTTGCTACCCACTAATCTTAGTGAGAATTTAGCTTGCTATAATACATTGTTCTCAATGAAACTATTAAAATCGCTAGTCATCGCATCGTTGTCGTATTCGATGCGAGTCCCTTGTAGCGTGTACAGCGCTGTGTTACGTACATTGTTTGTTTGCACACACTTTGAGCACGTACTACAGAATGTCTCATACTACTTTCAAATCAAAGATTTACGATTACGGGAATTGATCTAATATGTAGTTTGACAGCGCAGTATATATCAAGATCGTATTTATTCTCGTTATGCGCTCCTTCACAGTGACGTGTGCTATCTGCAATAGGGCAAATGTTTTATGTGTGTTAGAATGACTAACATGTGGATATATACTACCGTGTCCTGTCATATATCGACATAACGTATTCTGGCTTATTCAATGATTAATATCACGTGAAGCCTAGCTATAGAGGATACACATGTCATTGGCACTTCATGGCTATGAAGAGTATATGGGAGGTGATTGGTCATTTAACTTATGACAAACATGCATTACACCTAAAATATATTAACAATATTGTATGATGAATCTAGAACATAAATTGATTACATTTATTACTCGTATTATCACCTATGTACTTGATTATGTGTACATTATATTGGTCCATGGTTAATTATTTGACTGCATGAGCAGTGTCTTATATAATAATGATTGACAATCATGCAAGAATCGATGTTAATGCGATGTCATAAACCCCGTTACAATGGCTGGATACGGTTTGGATCCTTTATGGACATCTCCACTGGATAGTGGTCACTCACGGCTAATGCCTGGAACAAATGAATGCGAATCAAATACAAAATACAAAAGTACAGATATCCAATTATATAACTATGCCGCTTCATGAACGTTCAACTACATTCGACAAAATGATAAATGTTGATAAATGCGTGCGACATACCAATGTGCGATTCATCGGGGTGTCATAGAGGTCTTGGTCATAATAAAATACTTTAGCACTTCCTGGTAGATACGCATCTCTGAACCCCTGCCCATGAGTCACTAATCTGTCAAGAAAACGTGGTTTACGTAAATTAATATATATGAATGTGTTAATTAAAAGGACACCGTTTTCTCGTTTCGACATGTTCTATACGAGTCCCATGTGGCGTATACAAAGTAATCTTAAATTCAAATACAGAGATCTGTGGAATGTTTATTTTTTAAAACCAAACTGGTTGTCTGTGTAGTTTTAAACAAACTTTATCACACCTCTTGAGTAATATATGTTCAACAACTATTGACAAAACAGATGTTATTGCAATATGACGATAATTGTGCTGGTAATGTCTCCAATTTTATTTTTCAGGAGCGGCACTGAAATAACTTCCATCATAGACCGAGGGAGTGTTCTGTGTACAAAGAATGACGACATACACATTGCATTGACAAATGTGTACTCACACTGGGATTAACATACTTCAAATGTTCAGCACATAAAGTGTATTAACCCACTGCACAACTTGTAAATTGTATTCATCCATTTTCAAATTTGTTTACTTGGCGGAGTTTATAAATCACACAAGGATGATACGATATCTTCCGCCGTGCTCAATCTTGTGCCTTGGAACACTGTCACTTTACAATTTGGAGGTGGGATGGGGTGGATCAAATACTTGTTAGCTGTGTTTTACCAGAAAAGCTTGAAAAACTAAGAACAGCTAGATGATTTTACTATTCTGCTATTAATGTTTGAATGTAATCTAGTGGTATACTGCTACTTGCCTGTCATATGCACACGAAGACGTACGAGCTAAGTTGGTCTTAGCATCATCGTCGATTAACCAAGTGAAAATAGGCATTGTTCTGTAACTGATCTCCTTCCAATCATGCTCTTTAACATAAGCACAGTCAGCGTTGTAATCTCCACCAATCAAGACATTCTATAGACAACAACAACTTGAATAACTATTTACAATACATTGTGTTGATGTACCCAGTAGATGGTCACAAAAGTATGCGAATTAAGAATTCAGTACTGTCGGTCATTTTACCAATTTCGTACGTTTTCATTTGTTATGTTAGAAACGTGTCATGTCTCAAAATTTTACTGCGTGACATGTGGTTACATAATACGAATTACATCATTTTTGAATACGACAAACATGTATTATAGAATGTTAAAGTAAGTTACTGATTTTTTCGTGTTTTTTTTTCGAAATAAGTACCTCGTCTTGAAACTGTTCTTTTGCGTCGGCATTAACCTTTGTCAGGTGATCAATTTCTGACACTGCATGTTTTGGCCTTGTGTGTATGGCACCAAATACAAAACGTTTGAGTACTGAAATAAAACAGGTTATTACTAGTTTGGCTCAAACCAAGCTGTCAGCACCTATTTACAAGATGGCCTCCAATTCTAAAATTTCAAACCTTCTTTATAATATATGTAACAATAACAATTAATTCAAGTTGACCAGGTGAAACTGAATACATTGCCATTTGCTTCCTTGATATGATTTGTGCATGGTCTTTTTGAGTGTATTAACTGTTGGAATAAACTATTTATTTAAAAACAAAGAAGTTACATTCCCCACTGTATAATTATGAATCTTTCTTTCGTTAAACTACTAATCATTGTATTAGAACATTGTTAACAAAGCAAACAATTTTATATTGGTAACTATTAGCATATCACTGAATCTAGTGTCGCTGGCGTGGTTCAATTTTGTGAGTTAGCAATTAGAGAAGTGACGTGATTTAAGCGAGAAAATACCTGATTCTGTTGTTGAGAAATAAACCATGTAGGGGTCGCGGGCGAAGACATTGTTCGGGTCACTGTACGTGTAATTGCCCAAAACCGTAACCACGTCATGCCTCGAGAACAAACACAAAAAAACATGTCAAACAAAGTAGGCAAATAAACTTAAGTGAATTATCCAAACAATTTTGAATATATTTTACGTTTTGACCTGAAAATGATAGTCAAATACCAATACCAATACCAATCATGAATTCCTAAATTAAGGTCTTTCATATTTTCAATTTAGTGAAGCAGACCATTACAGGCCGAATTTAACAAGATAATATAGTTAAAATCTCATTTCAAGAAACGAGTAATTACTACCTGAAGTAGGGAAATGTATGATGGTGAGGCCATACACTAACATGGGAAAATACAAAAATGTACAAGTTCATGACATACTGTAATTTGTATATACCGACAAAAATGAATATTGTGCTTCTACCTGTAATAAAAAGCATACTGTTCAGTATCTCGATACGTATTACCAACACGTGGCCCCAACTGCAGAGAGTATTTACCATTGGTTTTACTGCAAAATAATTGAACATGTATAGGGTAAGTATAGAATATTCCAACATTTTTTTTCTGTATCACCATATTCAGGACATACCATAATTACACTGTCATTATACTTGAAACAATATTGCATGTCATTAGTATGGAAACAACACATTTTGGATTGCGGGACTATAATTATTTTATTTGGTATTAATATTTTGCGATATGAAATTACAAATACTTAAAACTATGTTTATCAGCCTCATGATTATATAAACCATTTGTATAATTTTGAAATTTGAAACATTGTATTTACACTCGAAGATAACTAATAACTATGTATTTTCCCAAATTAAAATTTGTATTTCAGATAATAATACTGATTAACTGCCTGACTGAAGTCGAAATACCTTACTGTGCCAGTGAATTAGCAATTGTTTCAATCACAACATGTGATGCCGCGTGAACTTTTCTAATAAATCGCACCCCCTTAGTGATAATGCACTTTTGTGACGTGAAAAGAAGTATATTGGTGAAGGCAATGTTGTTCAACAACTGTGTTTGTAGTTGTTTGTCATAGGAAATGCTTTCAAATCGATATGTAAGCCTTGAACTGCCCCCGTCACCCTATAAGTCATATAAACACTAAGCCAATATCGGGCGCCATTCATAAGAAAGATGTATTAAAGGTAAGCAGCTCACTCTCTCCCTCAAAAACTATTTTCATAAGCCATTTTATAAGAAACCATTATCATCACTTTGTTTGATTCCCGCGTCTTATGTTTCTTTGAGACAGTTTCACGCCACAGGTGTTAATATTTTTAATGTATGCTGACCAGGTATGGTAACTTGTATCATCACCAGCGAGCAAGTGATACGGCCATTCGCAGCCCATGGATATTTCTAATTTCACTTTATCAGTTTACATTCTAGCTATCTTTAAGTCTGGAAATAAGATACAACGATTGAGGCACAAATAGAAGCATCCGTCTTGGACAAGGAGTCATTGAACTTTGAAGGAAATGCGAGATGAAGCGTTTTCCATAAGACGCCTCTACTCTGTCGCCCAACATGACTGACGAATAACACCAACATCAGCTGAAACGCATCATCTCCACCCTGAACCATATACCATCATTGAAAAGAAATCTGTTGATTACATTAGCAATTTTTTTGAGTTAACAAAAAAAAACAACAACAACAAAAAAACAGGTTCAACCACTACTGATCTACAAGACCTGCAACAATATACAAGACGTAACAATCTGGAAATGCATGGCATTCCACAACAACCAAGAAGAAGATATAGATATGGATGTGTTTGCAAGTCACAGGTGCCACCGGAATCAATATTACACTATAAGACATTGACGGGAGCCATCGCTTACCACCAATTTTACTGTTATTCTTACTCAGTTGACCAATTCAATTCACATTCTAATTTTTCAAATCATTCTAATTTTTCTAATATAAACACTAAACTTGTTGCCTTTTTGAGTGACATAACACACAATTTTTCGTTTAATTTATTATTCCAGTTAATTACATGTAACCGTGACATTTGAAGAGTGGGGGTGTAACAGTGCGTTCTCGTGTCCTTGTCTTTTACACGTAATAACACATAAAAGTATACACTGTGAATCGATTATGTAGAAACTTGCATAAACAACAAAAAGATTTTTCTAGGCGTTATGTACCGTACACCCAACACCCTATTTCATAAATATTGTGACAGTTTGCGCCTATGTCCACAATAGTTGTAGGCCAAGGGTATTGATTCTATTATACTTGGCAACGTGAACATTTAAAAAAAAAATATTATTCTCAAGTCAACGTGGTTAAGGTTGAAGGCAATTATGGGTAATGTCTTGCGCTATCACTATTGCGACCAAAGCACGATTATTGCGGACTTGAACGAGATAGTATTGCAACCATCACTAACCGACACATTCATTCATTCGTTCATTCATTCGTTCATTTATTCATTCATTTACACTTACACGTCAGATTGTCATTTCGACATAACCAAGTATGTATTAGTCAGGTATGTTAACTTGCAACCACAACTTGCATGTCTGATTGTCAGAGTTATTGACGTTGCATTCTTTCACTTACTCGTTTAGCTCTTTTAAAAGATCGTACACTGCCACTCCATCCTTGTCACAAACCTCTTGCACCGCACATATATCGTATCGTATGATAACCTGTAATGATAAGATTAGACAACGGTGTCGTTTTTGTGTCAATTAAGTATTCTACCAATAAGCTGGTCCATTCAGATAATATATGCCAGGCAGCATCGGCTAACAAAAGAGTTTCATTCTAACCCATGATACGGAATCGAGAAGCTATAACTTATTGTTGAAAGGCATACAATGTACAGAAGTCGGTTTGTCCACTATAGACCATCTGTTAATTTAAATAAATGAAATAAGACTTTTAGTCGAAATGAAGAGCAAATTCCAGATAGTGGAGTAAGTAATAGCGATGAAACAATAATGCCAGAAAATGAGGTTCCTAATAGAGTTTAAATATTAACTTGTTGTTTGTTTTTCGCTTATATTGCGACAGTTTAAAAGGTTGCTAATGCCATACTTACGTCAGTATGTCCACTGAAAATAAACTATATGCAATAAACACAACAAATATACTGTAGTATGTTCGATTAACTTACGTCCACAATAACCTTAACAACTGGATCTTTACTCATCTTGGATGTACCAAACTTTTGAATGTTCCATGCAGAAATGTTAACACTGGATTGAACACAGGCAGCTCCAAAAACGAGAATAACGAAAGCTATGGTGATATTCATATTGTTCGTCTTTTGGCTGTTGTCGCGCGATGCTGGTAACAAATGTTTAGAATGTAATTATACATTCCAATATATAACCACCCATTACATAAATCATGCTGCTATGTCAGTGACGCCAATATCTGAATGCGTACAAGACATATATGCATATTATATAGACAACAGTATGAAAAAGTACCTTACATATTCCGTATTTGTCAGGAAATAGGTCTTCTAAAACCACACCCATCTGAGGCTGAAAAAAAACATGCTGATAAGCAGCTGCTTCAAAGATAAGTTTTCACACTGTTTATGCTATTCTGTCGAATGCGTGTGACAAACATTAATTAATCAAACACATACGTCACTGTGATTGAAGAGTTAGGGTATATATGTAGATTGGCTCCTCACTGACAGCTAGAGAAATATGCGTTTCTTTGCGGATTAAACACCGTTATCTTGTGTGTAAAAAACCTTATAAATACAGCTGTCCGCATATCTCTTATTATATCTGCATTAGTGCCCTTTACCGTACTATGTGCGTGTATTGCATATGAGCACTGGCCGTTGTTGTGTAGGATCGGGGTTGGGGTGGTTGGCGGTCACGCACTATTAATCTAGTTATTAATCAAACAATTATTGCCCGCCCACTTCACTAGTACACATGTTATTCGAATTGTACGTTCCCAACTAGTTAGCGTGATGTAGCGACGCGTTTGACGTCTGCAGTAACAAAGTCGCTTCTTGTCTGTTCAAATTTTTTGCAATAACCCTTTTATTTTGTCTGTTGCTATATTGCATGTGTAAAATACAATAAGTTGGTAGTTTACTAATATTCCATAGTGTATGTGTACTATATGTAGATGGGATATTTTGTGGGGAGGGGAGCCATTTACGCATGATGGATTTCACGTAGCAAGCATGCATGTGTCACAATTTGTTTTCATAACAGTAGGAATATAACTACGTGCGTTGTCTCTTAAAATAATGCGAGCAGTTGATGGAATACATTCTCATTGAACGTTGATATGGCCCCTGGTTAAACATCCCGACTCTAGTTATGGACATTAAGATGTGGTTAATTGACATCAAGATAGGGTGAACATACATCACAATATGGCGAATGAATGTCACATTATGGTGAATGTACATCACAATATGGAGCAGTACATCACAATATAGTGAATATCTCGATATGGTTAGCATACATCATGATAGGGTGAATGAACGTTGCGAATTGTCATCATCTTTATACAATCTTTGGCAAGGTGCAGCATCCTTTATTTTATGTTTTTTGCCATATTACATGTGCATATAGTGCATGGAATCGTGGGAAGCAATGGTGTGCACGGCCGTGTGATAACAGTCATAAAGGGGATCGGCAGGTCATACTTGTTTTCAACACTTGAAGGACAGTTGGAATCTACCATGTGTGCTTGTGATTTACATAAAAATGGTGTATAGAACTTTGGAAGGAGCCTTGGAATCTACCATGTGTGTGTGTGCTGTTATTTGAATAACAAAGGATGATCTACTGAGATGCCTATGTGACACAGCTGCTAGCAAGATCACATTCTGATTGGCTCATGTGGAAACCCAGGTGGTGTCACTGAATCTGAGCCATTTATGCCTACAAATTGGACAGACTGAGGACAGTTGGGGTTCATCATTTCAACTTAGTATCCTGTGTGCTGCTGCTACAATATTGTAAGTGATGTAGGCTTCAACCATCGTATTGTGAGACTTGTATGAACTGCTTTGCGATCTCCTGCTTTCAGCGGTGCCCTCCAGAATAACAGCATTCCATCTGCAAGACACCTGTATTTCTTCGTTGTTATGTTGCATAAGCCATTGACTGTCATCCATTTCTACAATCTGGAACTGTGAGTTATCACCAATGCACACATCCCTAAGCAACCCCGTATTTTAGTGACTTTATTCATTGTATTTTTTCTGTATTAAAGCCAGGAGCTTTAACTCGATATTGTGATGTATGCATATTTCATTTCCAGTATTATTGTCTTGTCTACCCCATACTAGCAGTGAAAGAACCCCCTGTCCAATATGAGTTTTGTGGGTGGCTCTCTCGATTGCATTAGCAGGCCTTACACTGTGACACAGTTTTTCTAAAATACCTTCTCAGACAAAGAACAAACAACGTTTCCTACATCTAGCAGAAGAAGTCACACTTCCAGATTGCTATGTCACTAACAGTCCAAAACTACATTATTTGGACACCGCAAACGCAAGGGGAGCTTCAACTAAGTTTGACAGATAAAAGTCCTTCATAGCTCACAAAAATAGATTATTATCCAGTCATCAACCCTCCTATTACCGAGTGCAGAACTGTAGAGGAGTGCTTGCGTGGTGCGGAAGAGAACACCAAAGATATTAGGCAGCCTTATGTAAGTATCACGTTTGACCGTGGGTATGCAAGAAAGCATACCTTCTGATATGAAATTCATCTGAAAGGTACAAAAATGACATCATTTTTCATTGGAACCTCTCATTTGATAAGTGCTTACATGAAGATGATTGACAAGAAGATGGCTGGATCTAGATTGATGGATATACTCCTGAAAACAGGGTTGATTAGTGATTTCTGGGGGGGGGGGGGGGGGCACTACGACAGAATACTACATTGCCAGAAAGTAATGCTGGAATGTCTTGAGAGACTGGTGATAGATGAGTACCTTAAAAATAAGGATTGTGACGAAATACTCCTTCTCCTTTCTGGAGAATCTTCAGATAAGTTGCATGCCCTGGTAGAATCCCAAAGCTTTGGATGGTGTGGCAATGGACCAGTCTGTTATAGACGAGTATACAGAGTTTAGACAGGGAGTGACAAATGGATAATTATGGAAAAAATGCCCAGTTCTGGTTCTCATGTATGGAAAATGTCCATCTCATTCTGGCACTCCTACAGGCTGTGAAGACAAACAACTTCCTCCTGAATGACTTCACTTTTATTTAGCTTTGATGGAAACAACTACGCTCGCTAACTGACATACTTTTATACTTTTCAATGTTTTTAGCCTAATAGAAAGTTACACCCAGGAGATGTCTCCATCATCAAAAAAGCTGAGCATTCAGTGTTGCTCGCCCCTTCATACTATGTAATCAATGTGCGATTGGTAAAGCAATGGAAGAGACCTCCATGGGACATGCTAAGTCCCGTGCTGAAGTTGGAACCAGTGCTGCAGGCATATCTGGCCTGCTCACCAATTATGAAGATAAAGGATGGGTGCGGACCACACATGCTAGGTATCTTTATGTAGATGCGATACTTGGTTTGGCTCACATAACAGATAGTGGAGAAGGCAGTGAGCATAGTGATGTCCGTTTGTACAGCAGAGGTCAGAAAAGGAAAGCAGCTGACAAGAAAAGCCCAAAATGCCACAAACAGCTTTATGAATCCATTAACAGTTGAAACTATGTGGGAAATAAACACTGCGTCCCAGTTTTCACTGCTACCACGTGCTTTCATAGTTCATGGATCCCAATGGTAAAAAAATGTGGTATGGTCTAGTTGTGGGGTGTGCACGATAGTCTATCCTGGTCCATGGCCTATTTCTTGTACGAAAATAATTTATATAGCAGGGATTGTGGAAAGTATCATAGTATATTTTCCATTCGGGTGGATGCATCTGTCGACCTTGGCCGGGTCAATATTTGCATAATATAATTAATAGAGCATCTTCGCAGTATGGTGTTCTGAGAGATATTAATTCACTTCTTATATAAGCATGATGCGTAACATGAGTCAGTACTATGAATGTCCACTTTAACGAGGTTCACAATGTGGAAACATACATCATCAACATTATTAAGAAGGAGTGTATTTAGTTTATTTCTATATCCATGAAAACTAAACAGTGAGTATGCAAAAAAGAAAAAAATATATTTTATTTGCACAAAAAATTAGAGCGATGCATTTAAAAAAATCTTACCTCCAATAACAATTATCAATGGCTGGATTCAGTACGGAGAGCCTGGGGCATTTCCTATATGTAAATGTTTCATATGTGGATGTATCAAGTTGTCCAGTGAAACGCAAAGAACTTTTACTTTGTACCCCACGCTTTTTAGTGGAATTTAACAGACATATTTAATATATGATGCTGTTTTTTATTTGATTTAAAAAAAATAGCCAAATTACCCTTTCTTAATATTTTTAAATTATGGGCAATTGACTCGTTGTTTGTGTGTATACAATTGCCCTGTTGTGTAGGTTCTAGCATGGAAAGTTAGAGTGACATGCATATGAGGGGAAGGTTGGTAGAAAGGGGGTGTATGCGTGAAAGCAATTGACAGAAACTTGTAAATGCAATCTCGTCTCAGAGCTCTAAAGGCGCAGATGACACACTACGTAAGATGAAGTATGCTATTCTGTGTACAGATAGTATGAACAGCTATACAAACTAACTTTTTCTCACACATTTTATTGGGTTATCGTGTGACCTTGAAAAATTGATAAATAAGCTGGGTTATATCTGTGTATCATGCATGCTATATATACTGTACGGCTGTAAAACATAACTATATTTGTTATTGCTAATTTTGTGAGATTGTGTAGCTGAAATTCACGTTATGTACACAGTTTATGTGCAGTGTAATTGTGCGCGTGTTTCGGAATGCACATAATAGACTATACGTCATATCGATGATTGTCTCACTTTTCACTCATATCTGTACCCGTTGACAATTGAACATCAATTGTACACATTATTAATTAATGGCAATACATTAATACATATACATATCAGTGAATATTACACAGTCAGTCAATAAACCGTTACCACGCTCTGTGATTATACTGGTCTTCAGGATTATCCTTGCCCCGGGTTAAAAAAACAAGTCACCTAGGGGGTTGTTTTCCATATCTGAGGCAACACAATGGAAGATACGAGTAATCT